AATAACAGACAAGAAAATATAAAATTTATAATTTTTATTTTCATTTAAATGAGATACTATTTTTGTTTTAAAATTAAATTATTTTTCAAAATTTAAATAATTAAAAAATAAATAAATAAATAACAAAACATTATATACATATATAGTATTTCAAAAACATAAAATGCGAAAATTATAAAGTTATATAAATACCAACATTATAATAAATATAAATGATGATAGATTAACTAAATGATTTAATTATTTCACGCAATAGTATAAATTTATTTTTATTTATCATGTTATAAAGTCAATAAACTTGCGACATATTTATCGATTCAAAATGTAAAGTTTTACATTTTTATCAATAGATTAAATATATATGTAAAATAATTCAACATAGTACAATATAATTTAAAATAGTTCAAACATTTAAATAAAAATTTCAAGTTATAGTTTTTAAAATTTTTTAAGATGATTTAAATTTTTTTTTAATAAGTTGCGATTGTCTTTGCATTGAATTTGTAAATTAAATTCATAATTTAAAATTAAATGTAATAATATTGTATGTTACAATAATAATCAAATAAATCGAATGTGAAATATTTTTAAACATAGCAAAATTAGATTCAATAATAATTATTTTATCTTGTTGTTGTTATTTTCAATATTGATTTCATCGAATAATTTTAAAATAGCATTATTTTTTGTTTATTTTATTCAATAGCTTAAAGAAATTATTATAAATTATTATATGCGCATATCTTCCGATCGGCGATTATTTCGAAGAGATTTGCGATATGCCATACTCATAAATCAAACACATCATCGTTCACAACTGAATTTTCGGATTGGATTTTTGATGTGTTCGTCTCAATCGGAATTAAATCGATTTCAATTACTTCTAATGTCTTGTAAATTTTATTCCTGCTTCTCTATATGCCATTATTCGAATATTGTCTAGGCAAACTGGCCATATGACTTCAAAAACTCTAATCTTAATCGATATAACTACATAATGTATTTGAGAGAAGTTTCTTTATCGATTTTATTATATATTAGTACGTCTTGAATCAATTATGAAGTGTAAATATTAAATTATTTTATAAATAATATGGTTTTAAAAGTTTATTTTCAAAAAATAATAATAAAAAAATTGTATTTATTTTTAATTATTAATATATAAAAGTATTCACGAGAATTATCGTCTGTCTTTTAGTTAAAATATTCTATTTAATATTTCTATTTAATATTATTATTATAATTTTATATAAAATTATATTTTAAAACATATGTATTTATATGATGATGGAAATTTTTTTTTTATTATTTTTTTCATAATATTTTCATTATGAAAAGAGAAAAGAATAAATTAGATTTAATTCTGAATCTTTACAAAACATATAAAGTTTTCTAATTTTATTTAAAGGACGTAAAAAATCTAAAATATTTCAATATATTGAAAATATATATTATTGAAAAATAAAACAATGGTAAATAAGATATTTTAATAAAAAATTTATTAAATAAGTTAATTTTAGATTTTTTTTTTAAACAATTGTTTGTCTTACGAATTGAAAAACTCTATTAATGATAATTTATATAATCTAATCATTTTTAAAGATTTTAAAAGTTGTTCAAAAGATTCTGTTATAAATAAAATATATTTGAAAGTTATTACTGTTAGTTTAAAATAACATAATGGAGATAATATCTATATTAAATATCTATATTATTTATTGATTATATTATTCAATATTTGTTATTGTTATTTTAACGTCGAACAATATTATAATAAACATTAATTGATTTCGTTTTAAAGTTTTATGATAAATAATTGTTTATAATTAAAATTGAGTCCCTAAAATAATTTTATTTATAGGATGATTTAGATACATGCATATGTTTTTTTCGATTCTTTTTTTTTTACACAATTAAGATTTTCAATATTGATTTTATCGAATAATTTTAAAATAGCATTATTTTTTGTTTATTTTTATTTTATGATTTTGAAAGATTGTCATGACAGGAATGTTTTATAAAAATCACAGATTTCTCAGAAACAATCATGAAAGTGTATTTATTTGAAAATGATTCTTTTTATTTTTTTGTGGAAGGTTTTGATGTGTTTGCTATACTTTGCTAGTAAATATGTGTTGGTAAACCTTGCGAGTTTAATTTGGTTACAATTTGATTTTTTAATTTGGATTCTGTCTAGTCGTTGATTTAAATTAACTATAGCTTTGTTTTTTATTTCTGTCAATTTCAATCAATTGTACGTATATTTTTTTTTACTTATTTTTTTTTCATCAAATTTATCTTGCTTTTTTAAAATATGTTTTAATAATATTTTTTTGTTTTTGTATTATAATCGATTATTTCTGCATATTACAGATATATAATGTATATAGATATTGATTTACTATATTGATTTACTTTGTTTTTAATTTTATAAAAAAAAATAATTTAAAAAAGCAATACAAATAAATTAATATTTATAAATTTTATTTATTATAATGACCTTCTAGATTTTCTTTTTTTTTATATTACTAAATCTTTAAAATTATAATTCAAGTTTTCAATTTTCATTTTTCAAAATTGATCATTGTTTTTCTTAAAAGTATTATAGATTTTCTATTATCGTTTTTTTTCTTTAATTTTTGTTTGTCTATTCAGATAGGATATATACACTAACGCGCGATATAAATTTTTCATTTTCGAACGTCGTGAAAATTCAAAGATTCCCCGCACATCCATATTAGCTCGTTGGCAATGCTGAAAATTCAATTCCATCGGCTTCCGATCGATTGTGATCTCTAGCCGGAGGATATATTTGAAATTTCTCGACGTACTATCACCTTCTCTTCTAAATATTCTCACGTTTGTTTCAATTCTATCCAAAACTTGATCTATTTTTCTTTCTGTGTTTACCTTATCTGTATTTAATCCAATCCTCTTATTTTATTAAAATTTGGAAATACATAATTATTTTATCTTATATATTATAGTTCTTTTTTTCATAAAAATAATATCTTATTTAATCTTCAATTATTTTATTATTTCAATTATTTTTCATCATTTTTCGAAATAATTTTTATCATTATATCATTAACGATTCAAATAGAAAACATTTTATAATTACATTCCAAAAATACAAGAAATAATTCTGGATGATTTTTGTTGTATATCACGGATAATTTTTCAATTAGTAATTTTTACAATTCATACTTCCATCGGTATTTATTCTTTCATTTTTTTTCATGTATTAAATTTTGCTTACAATTATTAATATATTTTTTTGTTATTTTTTTTTCTATATTTTTCTTTCTTTTTACAATTTTCAATTTTCAATTTACAATTTTCTTTTTACAATTTTATCGATAATTTTTATACAATATTCTTAAAAAGAGAATTATAGAATATTTCATATATTAAAATTAAATTATTAATTTTCTATATTTTAATAATTTGTTGAAAATTAGATTGATCATATTCCTTTTTTTTATAAGTCGTATTAAGCCAAAATCCTTTTATCAAATATAACTATTTTTAAGATTTTTCAAAATTTTATATTCTTAAACAATATAATTCAATTATATTATTTAATTACAATTAATAAATATTTTATTGCAGAAATAATATAAAAAACAAAATCTAATAAAATTTATTTTTTATAAAAATATTCTTAAATTTTAAAATATTCATTTTGTATCTTTTATGAATTAATATCAATGATTCGATTCTTAATTGAATCGTTCAGAATGTATGCTTTTGACTATTTCATCTTCATTGAATTATCAAAATTATCCGAAAAACCAAATGCACTGGTAGACACGTTTTCATGTTTCAAATCAGAAGAATTCTTATTTTCGAGACATGTTTCGTTTTTTTTTAATTATATATTTCAGGATTATCGATACGATACTACACAAATTAGTTTATCATATGTTCTGTACATAATATATATAACATGATTTTTCGAAACATGAATTTTGTTTTATTCATATATCATACCTTAAGCGAATGTATATTAATATCGATCTTTTCTAATCATTCTATTTTTTGAATGTTTCATTTTTGATTATCCAAATCGAGACAATCACGTTTAAACCCTAAGAGAATTTCTTCAACAATTCTTCTTCTTGATATCGCACTCTTCACATGATCTAGTTTAGTCGAAGAAATGTCTGTTCTGATTTGCTAGTTCTTTCTTTTCTTCACTTCGTAAAGATAGTACAGAAATCACTTTTTCCCTTGTCACGAAACGGAAAAGATTTAACGAGGTTTTGTTTGGATATCTGATCATGTGAAAAATTGAATCGAGTAATAATATATATTATTATATATATCTCTGGAACAGATTCTTCGACCACTGTTCAAGTGATCTATTTTTAACATAATTGATTAATTTTTTAATATATTCAGTATTAACATATTCAATCCGGATTTCATTCGGATCTTCAACGAACTAAAAATATAGAAGTTTGATTCATTTTTTAGATTATGCATCAAAAATAACTAATTGTTGTCATAATATCGACTATTTACACCAAGCGTTTTTAAGAGATTGAACTTATTTAGAATTGTATATGTATTATATTATCTTATACATTAATATTAATTTTGTTTTAGAATTCTCAATAATAATAGAATTTATAATTAATTAATACTAATTTATATTTCAAATAAAAAACTTATATTACAAATAAAACAATTGCAAATATTAATAAATTTTTATTGTTAAAATAAAATAGAGAAAATTATTTCAATTACCGATAAATTTTCTAATGCTATATCATCTATATATTTTGAATGAAGTTTGATTTTATAAGGATTATATAGAAGATTTATTTCATTATAATTATTTCTCTATTTTGTATATTGTATAAAGTATTTTGTGTGTTAAGTATTTTGTGTCATTATCCGGATTGAACGTGTTAACATATATAATTATTGAATGTGGAATTATGATTTTTAACAATCTATACTTAATTAATTCAGGAAAAATTTTTTATTTTTAATTAGATCTTGAATTTATAATTAAAATACAGCTTGATTCAATTCATTCTTCTAATTTCTCGCGCTAAATGTGTAACGCGATGAATTATTACATCACAGTTATATAGTGAAAATCAAATTTAAAAAATTTATAGTATTCGAATCAACTTATAGAATACTCTACAATCAGTGTTTTATTCACGAAATTGAAATGAAAATCAATTATGGTGGATTCAAATTTGTTTCAAGGGTCTTGCGATTGGCTCGACGATCGAAGTTATCCCCGGATCACAGGAAGCTCTCATTAGGAGCGTTTGCAGCAATATCGATTGATTCGATACCTTGATTATTGAGACGTTCGGCGTCTATTTCTCCAGCCTTGATTTCGCAATTATTAATAGGATCACCATATTGGCTCTGATAGAATTCTTCTCTCATCATGTGGTTCAAATTACTGCAACGGAAGTAAAGGATTTCACGGAACGGTTTTCGAAAGTCTCTGTTCAGAGTCGCATAGATGATAGGATTCAATAGGCTGTTGCAATAACCAAGCCAAAGAAATAGACTGGATAAAAATGCTGGGATAGCATCTGGATTCTTAAGGAATGGTCTGACCAAAGCTAATACAAAGAACGGTAACCAACAAACTATGAAAGCGCTCATTATGATTCCTAATGTAGTACTGGCTTTTCTTTCTTTTGCCAGATGGAACCTTAATTTCTTCTGATGCGGCGAATTTGTTACACTACAGGTGCTGTTCAAGTGGTTTCTCACAATCGTCGACTTGGTTGATGTCATCGGCGGTGTAGTTGTCGTGGACGAAGAGAGGACGGGCTTCTCGAGCTTCTGAAGCATTGGACATTGCGACTCATGGCTTTTGCGAGGACCACCGGTAAAACATCGCACTGTATGACCACTACACTGTAACAAGAAAATTGAAGAATCGTTGAATTTTTATCCTTTCTCTTTCTTTTGTTCTTTAGTTTATAATTTATTATTTTATTAAAATATAATAAAAGTTTGCTTATATAAATATGTTGAAAGAAATAAATTCATATAATTAAATTTTTCATGAAAGTTTATTTAATTTTTATCACGATTCTTCACTATTTTTGTTCAATACGAGTTAATATTTTTATGAGAGGATTTTACGAAATATTTTCTCTAAAATACATAATAATACTGTAATATTATAAATTTGGAAACAGTTTTGCAAATGTAAAAAATTAACTTTTTATATTTATTTTATATTTATTTTATATTTATTTTATATTAAAGATAAATATATTTCCATTTCTATTATATTATAAAAATATTTATAGATTGGTATATATAATAGAATGATGTAGTAATTTAGATAATAGAAATTCGATTAAAATTCAAATGGTCAAAAAAAAAAACACTTTTAAAATTTAGTTCATATAAAATGAAGTTCCATTGAACTTGAACTTTATTATCGATGCATTAGCTCGATGGAGTTTGGAGTTCTTAGAATGTTCGGTTTTTCAATGAGAATTTCTGAATGCATACTTTTACAGCTTTCAAGATGGTACAGTTCGTTTCATTGGTATGCATGATGCACGCGATGTTCGTGTTGTGGTTTCAAATTCTGTGAGATCGAAATTTTAAATGGAACGGATGGATAATAAATAGTTTGTATTTATATTCGAGATTGAATTGATACGATTGTTTAAGATGTAATGTAACAAATAGATGTAAGATGTAACAAATAAATCAACATCGTATTTTGCAATATATGTAACATAGTAGAAATAAATAGAGATGATAAAATAATATTTATTAATTAAATTTAATTTTTGAAGAATTTTATTCATTTTATAATTTTTAATTATTTGAATTTTAAGAGATATATTGAAATATATTGAATAAACGAATAAGATTCATTAATTATAAGAAAAAAATTTCCATTAAAAAATTTTTATTAAAAACAATTAAATTCATAAATTTGTTATAAATATTATTTATATATTATTGAATTTATATTATATATTGAGAAATAATGTTTCAATAAAATAATAAGTTTTATAATATATATAAAAATTGATTGATTTTTGTGATTGATTGAAGTTTGTTTTAAAAAATCTAATTTATGATATTATAATTTATGATTATATGATAATTATATAATGATTTTATGATATTTTTATTTATCCAATGGATTCAATAAATAAAATAAATTTATACGATATTTTATATGTTATATAATTAAAATAATTTAAAATTAATCTTTTTCAAATAATCAAATATAATTGATAAAAATATTCAATATTACTTACAAATAATATTAATAAATATATATATATATGAAAAATAGATATGATCAAATGATAAAGAACATATTCATCGAAATTCATAAACATGTTTATGAATTATATATTAATACAGTAAGACATGTTTTCGAATTGAACTTGCAATCTGTGGACGTGATAACAACGTTACTGTGGTTCTCGATCCTTCCGGTAAAACAAATCTCTCGTGTATATCACTGCAACAAGATATGATAAATATAATAAATATAGTATTTCATATTTTGATATCTTCATTAATTGTAAGTAATTAAATTTAACAACAATTTTAACTATTATTAATTAAAATTATTGTACACTGTACATATTATTATGCATATTAATTGAAATATAGAAAAAAAAATATAATTTTATAAAAATTTTTTCTTTTATTTAAATTTTTATCATTCGAGCTTCTGAAAGTAAAAGAAAAGATTAAATTAATTTCAAAATCAGTATTGTCATTTATTTCGTTCTTTTTATTTATATTTTAAAAATTTATACATTTCTTTTTGTTTTTTAATTTTATTTTTTATTTAATAAATTATAATATTTAATAAGAAAAATAAGAATAGTAGAAAATTACAAAATAAATTATATAAAATATATATATTTATATATATGTAAAATAAATTATAAAATAAATAGTAGAAAATAAAAAAGATTTTACATTCTTATAAATGTAAAATCTAATTATTTTTTGTTTTGCAATTATTTTTTGTGTTTTTTTTTTATTTAGAAACATATATTAGAATATAAATTACTATATTAGAGTATAAATTTAATTGCGGATTTTTGTTATATTTATTGTTAAATTATTGCATATTTTATACAAATGAAATATAGCTTTAAGAGTAAAATTTAAAAAAATGATTCTTTAAACTAAAATATGATAATATTTTCTATGCATTAATTACATAAAAATCTGCAGATTAATTGTTATTATATAATAGTTGGATAACTATATCTATATTTTTGTCAAAATTTTAAGAAATTTGAATTATTTGAGATGATAATTCATTCATTTAATATTTGATATCTTAATAAATTAATCTATTATGATTTGATAATTTTATAATATCAAAAATTTGGATAACTTTAAACTTACTTTTTTTTTTTAATTCTTTAATTCATTAAATATATATTTAGGATTTAGTTTGCATTTTGATTTCGTTTCGAAAGAGTGTTAAGATAATCGGATTGTATGCGATTTGGATGAAAAGTTAGTGCATTCAATACAATATGCTTGATGTTAAAATTATTTAAACTTCTTTAGTTAAACAAAAATATTATTTAACAATTAATACTTAAGGTAATTAGTAAATCATATTATTTAAAATTAAATATATAAAATATATATTATAATTGAAATAAAAAAGATAAAATTTTCATATATTATATATATATATATATTTCATATGAATATTAATTGCTGTATTATTATATTTTTGAATATTTATTATTTTTTTATTTTCTATATAATTATGAGTTCTTATTCTTTTATCGAGTTTTAGTTTGTTTTTAATAATAAAAATTTTATTATTAAATTTTTTTAAAAAACTCCAAACAAATTTAACGAATAAGTAATTTAAAATAATTTAATTTAAATAAGTAATTAATACTTCATGTAATTTTTATTTTGTTTCTTAATAAATTCTTTTGTTTAATTTAATATAGAACATTTAGCAGCTTCATTTCCAATTTATGGCTTATGATTATTAAGACCAACTTATAATTAAATGAACTTAAATTTGATATTTACATTTATTGCTGTAATTGTATTATATATGTAAACTTTGTTTACATATATAATTGTTTTATAATAATATTGTTTTATAATAATCGAATTAGAACTATAATCATATATCTAACATAAATCAAGTTAAATTCAATTGTTTTGTTTGAGAGCACTTATTACTCGCGAGATTTATGACTAACTTATTCGGAAAAATTTTTTTGCGCAGAATTTTTTTTTTCATTATTATCATCATTAAAATTAAATAAAAAATGATATTGTCCAACACAAGACTGCTGTTTTTGAAAAGAATTTAGATTCTATCACTTTTATATATTTTTTATATATTTTAGCCTAGTTGGAGTACAACACTATCTCAAAAGTGATTTTAAATATAATTGATTCAACAGGAACCAACATTATCCCAGTTTGAAATCTATAATAAACATATGCTAATCAATCTCTGAGTATTACGAACGTATCTTAATATGATGCAGATTAGGAGCTTAGTCTGAGAAATTTTCTTAATTTATATCACAAACCAGGATGCAATCTAATTGATTATTATCGTGTCTTTCTATGACTCTCCTAATTGAATTTGGAAGAGATTTGTGAAGATATAAGCCTTCATCAAAAAATAAGAGAGAATGTAATTATATTAATATTTCTTTATGAAGACATATTTTGACGATCAATAAATAATTTTTCTTGTAACAAGGAATATATATCATATATAACATGCTATAACTATTGGATAACATTACCTATTATAGCATAATGTGAAAAAACATTTAATTAATATTTCATTAATATTGTGAATTAATATTGTGAACACATCTATATTTTAACTGCCAAATATGACGAATAAGATAATTTTCTTATAATTCTAATGCACCGTGCTCTGATTATCGGACACCTAAATTGATATTATGAGAGACCCAATTCTTGTATCGTAATACAGTCCTCTTATCGTTAAAAAGATACATAGCTTTTACACACATAAACACATCAGTCATAAAAGAACATTTAATATATACATGCATGTATCTAATGAGCTTCTATCCATGCAACATTATCGAACACGAATACTTTCCAATCATTAGAAATACACATATATAAAATTAAATATACGTTAATGTTTCTAATTTTATTTGTTAATTCTTTGCATTGGAATGGTGACTTTCAGACTATGATGCGATAACTTGAAAGGTGACCTCTTAGGTATCTCTTAGGCATTATTTGGATTCAATATATTATACTGGCAATAATATTTATTTATTTATAATTTTTTTAGAATATTGCTTCGCGAATAACTTTCTTAAGATCTTTACGTATAATCTCATGAAATGTAGAATAATATAATGTCAAATAATTAGATTTTTTCATCAAATTAAATCGTGATTGCGGATCAGATTGCATTTTTGATATTATTTTTGGTATCATTTCTAAATTTGATAATCGTAGTAAGGAATATTATTTTCAAAGTTTTTAAATTTTGTAAGATTATAATAATGATTAATTTAAATTAAGATAAGTTTTTTGTTATTGAATGATGAAATTACTTCTATTTATAAAGAAACAATAGAAAGAAAGAAAGCAGTGATGAAGATAGAGATGAAGCGAAAGATGTAAAAAGGCGAAAAATAATAATTATAAGCTTTGCTGTCAACGAAATAAGAAAGATGAAAGACATTAAACGATATTTTATTTTGTGATATTTGGCTTGACAAACCGAGAATGCATTTTGGATTGCTTTATAAAATATCATACAAAACAACAATATAGAGTTTAATATTCAACAAATTTTCTTTCTTTATGTAAAGATACATAAAATATTAAAATATAAAATTAATTATGCTAATTATGTGTCAAAATGTGAA